GGCCAGTAACACACCTCCTGTAGTTATTAGTGCGACACCACTCAGGATGAATAAGCACATGGGGAAGCTTTGGCCAACAGCATTGTCAGTCTGGGGAGGTGTTAGATGTACTAGCAGATTTAAATGCACTGAAAAACTAAAGACAAACTCCAGCTAACACTTTATAAGCAGTTACAGCAAACAGTTTTGGGGGGGATAAAGGTTTTACATAAGTAAATAAAAGCTGATCATTATATGCACCCCTGTCAGTAGTAAATGGTTTGTCTCATCTCTGTAACTGATGCAGAGATTCTGCTGGAAATCCAGCTCTTACTAGCTGGATTGCTAGATGAAAATAGAAGAAAGAAAGCCAAAAAAAGAAAACTAATGCAGCTACAGCATGTAAAAATTGGTAGGCTGCAATATAAAGTTTGCTTTTGAGGTTAATACCACTTTAAAGATAGGGTGTCACAGTATAAGTATTCTATTAGTTCTTTGCAGTCTGAATTGCTGGTGGCTAAGAATTTCAGAAAGTGTGGTCATACTGCTGCCTACTGAGATTTATGGTAATTAACCACATTCCTCATTCAAGGAGGGGAGGTAATAGAGAGTTAAAACTGTAATAGAGAGTGGATCTCTGAACTTGACACTATTGCACCCAAGGGATTCAATAAGAATTTTAATTTACTTCTTTTTTTTAATAAGTTACAGTTTATGTTCCTTGCATTGTATTAATTATGTCTGTTTTTTTTTTATTACAGGTAATATGTGGATTGGCCCATGATATTTCTATTTTTTTTTTCTTTATATAGCAAGCTGGTTAATTAGACTGAATAGTGGCTTATGTAAAGAAGCTCAAAGTTGCAAAATTGCTTGTTTCTGGTTTGAGGGTCAGTTTATACCAGAATCACACAAGAATGCGGTGCACGTTCACATCGGCTTGCGCAAAAACTAATGCATGCACTACTTTTTGAAAAATGTGGTGCACCAAATTGCATGGTACTGTGGTACCATGCAATCTGGTGCCTGCAAATGGACTGCATTTGCTATCTGCATTTGGGGTGCCTTTAATAATGTATTGGCGCCTGCAGTAGCTCGGAAAGGCAGTGCATATTGGACATGGTGTGGGTAAAGTGTACATGACACACCTTTCCTGTACTGAGTTCTGGTGTGAATTGGTTAGAGTTATGCACTATGAATTTATGTCTAATTCTTGTTTACCTGATGAAGGGCCCTAATGGATCTTAAACTGTTGTATTAATGAGTTTTGTTACTCTTTAAATACATTTACAAAGTTCTGCTGAGCGGACTGTTTGCTTCTATATATTTAGTGATTAAGTAGTCTCCATTTTTCTGCTCTGCACCAAGAAGGACTGTTTTTTTTCTTAATGGGTGTGTGTGCTGTCCTGAGGACTTTGGAATTTGAAATATGCAGATCAATACATACATACGCCTGGCCCACCCTCAGCCTGTGCCAGGCTTTTCCTTACCTGTTCCCACAAATAATTCCAAATAATAAAGAGGTATTTGTACAACCTAGTAAAACCAAGTAGCAGTATACAGTTTAATGGTCTGAGAAATAGGGGAAAAGGTGTTTATTGGGCTCATATAAATGGCCAATATTGTAGTTGATCACATGTATGTCCACACACACTAGTGGTTACATGCAACCGGTGCCTCTGACTGAGCTTAGTCACAGATAGTGTGCATCCAGGATTGCCAGCTCTGGACGTATGAACATGCCAGATGCTGGTAAGCTCCCAATGTGTATGCACCACAGCATAGGGTTGTGTAGCATAGAGTCTTGAGGAAGGGGGCCCAATGCATTCAGAAGAAGACCCTACTTTATGCCTTCTGCAGATCGGTCTGTTAATGTGATGCCCACCTCGCTGACCAATAGTGAGGCAAAGGAGGTGGGAGTATCAAAGCTCTTAACCATAGTAATACCAGCAGCACAGTGGCTAAATGGTTAGCTTCCGCCTGGCAGTACTAGGGTTGTTGGTGCAAATCCCAACCACGGCACCACCTGCCTGGAGTTTGCATGCTTTCCTTGTGCATACGTGGGTTTCCTCCAGGTACTCCGATTTCCTTCCACACTCCAAAGACACATTGGTAGGTTAATTGGATCCTGTCTAAACTGGCCCTAGTATGTGTATGTATGAATGTTAGGGACCTTAGATTGTAAGCCCATTGAGGGTTAGGGACTGATGTGAATGTACAAGATACATGTAAAGAGCTGCATAAATTGACTGCGCTATATAAGTACCTGTTATAAATAGTAATTTGGCTTCTATTTACACAAGAGATTGTCCCAGGTTTTAGCATTCCTTAGTTCTTAAAAGAAAAGTGGAGCTGATGCGCAGTTACCTGGAGGTTCTAGCCATGGAATGTAATTGTAAGTAAAATGAGCGCACAGTTTTCTTTAAGAAAAAGTGTATACGGAGGTCCTAGGGGTCCTGCATCTAGCTTAATATACAGCCCTAGTAGGTCTATCCTAATGACAGATTTACTTAAAATGATTCTAAAGGTTGTAATTTAAAAAAAAAACTACTTACCTACTCTATCCCTCTCCTCTTGGGCCCTGCCAGTGGTCCTGGATCCCCCCCCCCGCTGAGTGCCCCCAATACCAAGCCTCTTTCTGTGGGTACACTTGTGCAGGCTCGCTCCCGAGCAACGCTCCTGTGAATGGACATTGTCCATTCACACACAAAGTGTGATTCACCCTCTATCCCACTCAATTCTCCAATTCTCTCCTCATTGGCTGACTGACAGTGGTTGACAACAGCAGGAGCCAATGGCTCCCACTGCTGTATGAGCCAGTGGGGGATAGATAGACCCAGCAGAGCCGTGGCTCTCATGCACACCACTGGATCTAGATCAGGCTCAGGTAAGTATTAGGGAGGACTGAAGGGGGAGCTGCACCCAGAAGGTTTTTTTACCTTAATGCATAGACCACTTTAAAGTGGCCTATATGATCAACTGTTTATCTTATTTTACAATTCAGTTACCCACTAGCTTCTCAAATGGCAAGGGGAGATTCACCTCTAGAGATTACAATCTCCACACTTCCTTTATAACATACTGTTTGAAGTTGTATGTAAAGTAGTCTGGTCATTAACCTCTTGCTGGATCCTACACAGATAAATAGGTGATGCTGAAACAGGTAAACTTTATTTGATTTTGATATATGGTATGGCTGTAGTGATGTTGTGGGACTTTCAAATCCTTAGGATTCCCATGATTTTTGAGTTTAGATAAAGTAGTTGCCAAAATACACTGTAATGTATTTTGCACAATAGAATATTGGAGAAAGTAAGAGTTTTCTTGATCCAAAAATTGTCAGACATTTCTAACTGACTCCATGTGATAAGAAAAGCATCAACGACCATGATGAGTGTGAGTTGACCATCATCATTACTATTGTTTTAGATTCCCAAGTAAGAAAGTACCTTTTCATATAGAAAAGATTGCGAGATGTTACCTTAGAAAAACTAGCCAAAGCAAGAGAAAAGGAAAAGACTTGCTAAAGTACCATGATACTATTTAATGAAAACCCATGATTTGTTCACATGGTGCAAACCAGCTGGTTTGCTTTAATGCCCCTTTCCCCAGCTGCACTTGCTTAGTTTTCTTTTTCTCCCCTATTAAGCTGACAGGAGTGAAAGACAAAATACCCTGTATTTTCAGGTGGGGAAGAGCATGTTATTCTCTCCCCTTGTGACAGTACTGGTGACTGGCAGAAGTGGCTAATGTGTAAGCTCTGATTAGAATAACTTGGATCTTACACGGGAGTTCATTTTCTTGATGAAGAACAGAATGGTTCTTTGAAGAGTACAACCTAAATGCTCTAATTAAAGTGGTAGTAAAGCCACTTTGTTACTTTCTACCTACAGGTAAGCTTATAATAAAGCGTACCTGTAGGTAAAACGAATATCTCCTTAATGTGCACTGTTTAGGAGATATTCAGGTTTTTTTTACAGCCAACACTAGCTCTCTAAAGAAATGGCATACTAAAGAAATACTCTAAAGAAATGCCAGTCCTTCAAAGTACTGTTCCGTGTCCCAGGAATCCCATGCGCATGCGCAGGAGTGGTACGTCATCGCAGCTCAGCCAGCCAGAGCTCGGGAACCCGGAAGGGTGACCTGGTGAAGATGGAAGCTTCAACAGCAGTGACAGCGCTGCACTGGAGGGCTTCGTTTTAAGGTAAGTTTTGTATAATGTGCTAGTATGTAATGCATACTAACACATTATGCCTTTACCTTGCAGGGGATTTTTTTTTTTTTGGACACTTTAGGAAAAAAACCTATCAATGCCTACGCAAAAAGACAGCTATTACAAAACCGAAGAGCTATTTCTGTGTTTATTTCAGAAAAACAAACACACACACTTGAACTTTTAGGATAAATCCACCATTACACCGAGAAAAAAAATTAATTCCCAATACCCTCTCCATACTTCCAGTCTCTACTGCACTTACAGTATCTTCTATGCTGATAATCATCTGTTGTCCCTACAGCCTCACAAACAGTCTTGCCTACAGTCTTGACCCACCTCCGCCACTTCACCATTCTGACTGACCACATAATGAGGAAGAGGAATTTTCTGCCAACTGGAACATTGGGGACACCAGTGAAGTGTACATATAAGTATACATCTAAATCCAAACGATAGGTTGCAGCACACTTAAAAAGTATTATTCAAAAGTATGTAGCAAAGCTAAAGACTTGAGGAAAACGTTTAAAGTGTGCTGCAACCTATTGTTTGAAATTCTATTTATTTGAAGGGTAAGTGAAGGGTAAGAGTGTGACAAGGGGAGCTGGGGTGTACTGCAGGGTCCATTGATGCTAGCTGCTGGAGGACCTATTGTCACTGGAGATCTATTTTTGCAGGGGAGGGGGTCTATTGATGTTGGGGGAGACTGTTGTTGCTAGTGGGGGATTTATTGTTGATGGGGGGCAGGTCTTATGTTTCTGAGGGGGATCTATTGATGCTGGGGAAGATCAATTGTTGCTGGGAGGGATTTTCTGTGGAAGGAGGGGACTATTATTGCTGGCTGCCAGGGGTCTCTCTTTTTCCTGTCTTCAAGAACAACCTCTTTTTAGAGCCTGGATGCTGGATGGAGAGTGATGCTCAACTGTCTCTCTTGAGAATTCCCATAGGTGTGCGATTGGGTTCAGATCAGGAGACATACTTGACCCTGTTGTTTTTCAGAAATGCAACAATGGCCTTAGATGTGTTTTTTGGATCATTGTCATGTTTGGAAAAGTGTTCGATGACCACAGGCACGGAGTGATGGTAGCATCTTCTCTTTCAATATAGAGAAGTACACCTTGAATTCATGATACCGTCAATGAAATGCAGCACTCATGCAGCCTCACAGAAGGACACTGCCACCACCATGTTTCACTGTAGGCACCATACATTTTTCTTTGTACTCCTCACTTTTGCAACGTCATACAGTTTTGAAGCCATCACTCCAAAGTACAGAGTTTTAGTAGTCTTCTTTTTCAGCATGGACCCTGGCAAATTCTAGTCGGGCTTTTTTTGTGCATAGGCTTTAGGAGGGGCTTCCTTTGTGGACAACATCCATGCATGCCATTCCTCTGCAATGTACACCATATTGTGCCATGGGAAACAATCATCCCAGTTTGGCTTTCTACTTTAGTTAACTGCAATGAATTTGCATGGCAATTTTCTTCAACCATTCTCCTCAGAAGACACTCCTGTAGATGTGTTAACTTCCATGGATGGCCTGGACATCTCTGTGATGTGGTTGCAGGCCTTGTGACATTTCTCTTCCATGTGGTGCCATTTCTAACAGCATGAAATGGGAAGGGGTTTTCTTTGTTAAGCAGTGCCCTTTTATAATCAACTGCCTGCTGGACACCTGTTTATCGTATAATTAGACTCACCTGTAGTTGAATTCTTGTTAATTAGGATGTTGTCTAAAATTTAGCTTTGCTCCTAAGACTTTCATTGGGGTGTATTCATTTTGCAACATGGTCATGAATGAATTCGTTAGGAAAAATACTTTCGTGTGTGTGCAAATTAACAAATCTTGTTTGCAATCAATGGCCTGCATTTTTGGGAGTATTTTGTAATATAATGACCCATAGAAAATGTTGATTCTGAAAGAAAAGTAAAGGTTTTCTGACAAATCTGTTTGGGTGTACTAATTTTTACTGAGCACTGTATATGTATATATACAGTTGCAAGAAAAAGTATGTGAACCCCTTGGGATTACGTGGAGTTTTGCATGAATTGGGCATAAAATGTGCTCTGAACGTCATCTAAGTCACAACAATAGAAGAACACAGTCTGCTGAACATAATACTACACAAACATTAGATGTTGCAATGGTTTAATTGCACATAACATGTAAACATTCACAGTGCAGGGAGGAAAAAGTATGTGAACCTTTGGACTTAATAACTGGTTGACCCTCCTTTGGCAGCAATAACCTCAACCAAACATTTCCTGTAGTTGCAGATCAGACCTGCACAACGATCTGGAGTAATTTTGGACCACTCCTCTTCACAAAACTGTTTCAGTGTAGCAATATTCTTGGGATGTCTGGTGTGAATCGCTCTCTCAAGGTCATGCCACAGCATTTCAATCGGGTTGAGGTCAGGACTCTGACTGGGCCACTCCAGAAGACATATTCTGTGCTGTTGCAGCCATTGTTTTGTTGAATTACTTGTATGCTTTGGGTTATTGTCCTGTTGCATCACCCATCCTCTGCGGAGCTTCAGTTGGCGGACAGATGGTCGTACGTTTTCCTGCAAAATGTCTTGATAAACTCTGGAATTCATTTTCCCATCAATGACAACAATCCGTCCAGTCCCTGAGGCAGCAAAGCAGCCCCAAACCATGATGCTCCCTCCGTCATGTTTTACAGTGGGGATGAGGTTTTGATGTTGGTGTGCTGTGCCTTTTTTTCTCCACAGATAGTGTTGTGTGTTCTTCCCAAACAACTCAATCTTGGTTTCATCTGTCCACAGTATATTTTGCCAGTAGTGCTGTGGAACATCCAGGTGCTCTTTTTCAAACTTCAAACGTGTTGCAATATTCTTTTTGGACAGCAATGGCTTCCTCCGTGGTGTCCTCCCATGTACTCCATTCTTGTTTAATGTTTTCCTTATTGTAGATGTGTCAACAAAAATGTTAGCATGTGCCAGAGATTTCTGTAGGTCTTTAGCTGACACTCTGGGATTCTTCTTTACCTCATGCAGCATTCTGCGCTGTGCTCTTGCAGTCATTTTTTACAGGACGACCACGCCTAGGGAGAGTAGCAACGGTGCTAAACTTTCTCAATTTGTAGACAGTCTGTCTTACCGTGGACACATGAACATCAAGGCTTTTGGAGATACTTTTGTAACCCTTTCCAGCTTCATGCAAGTCAACAATTCTTGATCGTAGGTCTTCTGAGAGCTCTTTTCTGCGAGGCATGGTTCACATCAGACAGTGCTTCTTGAAACCAGTAAACCCAAAACAGGGTGTGTGTTTTTTAAGGGCAGGACAGCTGTCAGCAACACATCCAATATCATCACACTGATTGGAGTCAAGGTTGGCTCACTCCTGGCTCCAATTAGCTCTGGGAGAAGTCATTAAGCTAGGGCCTCACATACTTTTTTCTCCCTGCACTGTGAATGTTTACATGTTATGTGCAATTAAACAATGGCAACATCTAATGTTTGTGTAGTATTATGTTCAGCAGACTGTGTTCTTCTATTGTTGTGACTTAGATGACGTTCAGAGCACATTTTATGCCCAATTCATGCAAAACTACACGTAATCCCAAGGGGTTCACATACTTTTTCTTGCAACTGTATCTGTATTCTGATACAAGTTCTTACAGTATTATGTATTAGCAAAAATGTATGCAGGCAGTCTTAAGTTCAAGTTTGTATGTTCTTAAGTTGAATTTGTATGTAATTTGCAGCAGGTACATTTTTTAAGTGTAATTCCAGCCAAAAAATTATTTTTAAGTTTTGGATAGCATAGGGAATGGTTATCTGGCCATGAAGTGATGTGGGATTGCTGACAGGTCCACCGAACAGTAGGTGGTAGCATGTGGTGTGCAACAAAATGGCCACCCAGCGGTTTCCGAGACCAGCATGGGGTCACGTTGCCTCTGTTCTTAAGTATGAGTCATATGTAAGTCGGATGTTTGTAACTCAGAGACTGTCTGTACTATTAGTATATTTGTTTGCAGTATTATGAATCTGCAATTATTAATGTCATAAAGAAGGCAAAAAAGCCACCAATTCAAAATTCTAAATCCAATCGATTTTAGTCTTTCATAGCAGAAGCCGAAAGTGAAACACAGAAATGTTCTATAACAAAGGTTATTAATTTAGAGGTTCCTAATACTGCTTTTGAATCGTATCATTGTTTGGTTTGAGCGAACATCTATGTATTTTCTCTGTGGTAACCCAAATATAGCCTTCATGAGGTAATGCAGCTGAATGACGTCTTTACTTCAGGAACACTGTGCCCTCAACCACAGAGACTGTCTGTATGGTATTGTGTGGGCTACAGATGAAATATCACAGAATGAACATTTAGAATTCTCATATTATTAATAATATAAACTTACAATAAAGAAATATATAATTTTGTGTTCTTGTGCAGCTTTGGTGCAGCCAACCACACTCTCTCTTACCAATGCCACTTTTATAGGGTAATCAGATACTAATATAACAAAAGTACATTTGTTTAAACAAGTCAGGAGATGAAATGCATAAAATGATTATTAAAACTATAAAAGCAACTATTGGGGTAATAAATTAAACCAGAATTCCACTCAACTAATTTCCATTTAACCCCTTTCAAGAAATAGGATCCCACTCACTCTCACTTACCGGTAGGTCCTAACTGCCTATTGCACCTTTGACCTTGTTTAAATATTCCCTTATGAGATCCTCAAGGTCTGCAATAGATGTGCAACAGTCACTACCTGATACCAAATTGCAGGGTCTCTCTAGGAGAAAATGTTTATTTGTTCCATTAAATAAATTCCCTCATCCAGGACGTGAAGGTAAAAATGTCTCTCTTAACTTGAAGACCAGAGAAATATTAAGAGATAAAAACTTTCCCTTACAAATATGGAAAATATAACATACAGTTACCCATGAAATTTAAATGGCTATTTTAGGACATTTATTCCACACAAGAAATTAATGTTTTCTGTAGGGACTAGGGATCTGTTGGACCAATGAGAAGTAAACATTCTGAAGGTTTCGTTAAGAAATCATACATTTTTTCTAGCCTCCATTTTAAGGACACATTTATTGTTAGCAAAGGAACTAAAGTTCCCTTTGTCAGTACCATTAATGTGTACTGCTTCTCCCAAAATTAAAATGGTGAACCCCTTGGGTAGTTACCTGTCTCAACTTGAATTTGTAATTTCTACTACTACAGCAATCATTTGTCAATCAATTTTAACATTTTTACAGTGACTGTCAGGACACGAAATACAATTCAAAAGTAAAGAGGATTAGCATAAAGAAATACAGAATGATACACGATTAACAGGAAGTAATTGCTCCAAAAAAACCAAGTAGATATAGGTGGAGAATTGGTTTGAGTGATCTACTGTTCATATTCTGCACACTAATATGCAATTAAATTAATTTTTAAAAAACAATGGTCAATCCTTAATAATGATTAAGTTTTGGGGTGTTGATTACCTGACAGTTCCTTGATTTTATTTAAAAGAGTTTCCTGTTTGAAAGATCCATTGTTACCAAATATCATTAAACAGCCTATTAGAGCATCATTTTTGGACACATGAAAGGCTTCTATCCTTGTAAGAAATGTGCAGCATGTACATTGATGGGTTGGCCGGCAATCCGAGCTGCGTAGAAAAATGTATTTTATGTCTAATCAAACCCAAAAGTTTGTTTGCCTCATGGTCCTAATATTGATGGGAATATTGATGGGAATATCTTGTCTTCCCTCCAGATGCCGGAGATAGTCCACCCCCCATTGACTTCTCCATCATGTTCAACAACGCCACCATCAAACCCGCCCCGCAGGCCAGAGTACTTGGTGTTATTTTACTCCAACCTATCCTTCCACCCCCAAGTCCACTCTTTAACATAACTCGTGCAGACTCCACCTCCGCAACATCGCCAAAATCCGCACGTTCCTAACTCCAGAAACCACTAAACAGCTCATCCAGCCCTCATTTCATATCGCGACTCGACTACTGCAACTCCCTCCTCACTGGCCTTTCGCCGCTGTTATCCCCGCTTCAGTCCATCCTGAATACGGCTGCCAGACTCATTCACCTTTCCTAACTTCCAACCGCTCCGATTTCCGCCACCCCCCTCTGCCAATCCCTTACTGGAATTCCGATTGCGCAACGGATCAAATTCAAAATTAACGCTGACGTACAAAGCTGTCCACCATACTGCCC